TCAAGGGAAAAACAAACCACTCAAACTGGCATTTTAAACCAGTGACTTAGCTGATAAATCATTAAAACTTTCACAATCACAAACAGCCATTTTATAAAGACAAAGTTATTGACTTAACTGTTGATCACCTAGAAAACAATTAGGAAAAAAATAAACTAATCTTGCAAGCTAGTATATTTTATACCAAAAACTTACAGAGTAATAGAATGCTTCTTTCCACTTTTTAGTAATAAAAGACATGGGAAACTGGAAAGCTGGAGACTTTCAAAATTTGGCAGGTCACATATCCAGAAAAGGGGACAAAAAACAGCTCTGTGACATTAGCTGGAATAAGATGCCCCATTATTTTTTCCATGTCAGAGAGTTCTCAATAAAAGATACTTAAAATGATACTCCTATTTAAGAAACTCAAAATATAAGTAAGCTAAAGAGCAAAACAAATGAGAGATGATAGGAAGCAGGAAATTATATAGACATATTCCCCCAAAAAATGTAACTAGTGTGGGTCACAAACATATACTAATAAAAAATGATACTAGACTAATTTATCAAGCTAGCAAATTATTATCATATTCTAACTGGGGGTAAGGAGCTCTTAAATAAGTGGCAACTTGAAATACTTTTTCATTTGAACCTTTTACATCCATCAAAAATGTGCTCACTGATTTAATTTTAAAGTCATATTATTTTGTTTTTCCTGACCTACTTTTGGAACTTCAGTTTAAAAGTCCAGCTGTAAGCCACAGTTTGGAGAAATCCAGTACAGAAATATTCTCTCTCCCTCCCTTCTTCTCTCCTCCTAAACTGTTCATCTATGGTTGTTTCCACATAAAGAACCACCTTTTCATAAAAGGTTAATGAGGAAGCCAGTCAAATAACATCAAATCTTTATAAGCTTTCCTTGCTCTAAAACATTTTTGAAAGGCAGAACAACTCAGTATAAAATTAAGCCTAGAAAGGAAATGAATAATGATAACGCCATCTTACTATGGGCCTGGTAGTATACCAGAAGTTTCTCTGGAATTCTAATTTGATGCTTCTTACAATACCCAAGACAGGCATTATCAACTTCTCTTTCCCCCGTCGTACACATGAGAAAACCAAAGGCTGCAGAAGGCAAAGAATTTGCCCAAAATCATATACCATTAAATGGCAAACTGGAGTTGGGGTCTTCTTGTATAGCATCTTCACGGGGGCTCTTCAGCACTATGCTATACTGTGAGGGAGGAATGGGGGTAGGAGGAGGTAATTCTTTCCCTAGTATGGAGATACCAGTTAGAAGCCAGGAACCAACCATTGCAGGTTCCTTCCTTCCTTTCAGGATTACCAGCAGCCCATGTGCATATGTACATGTACGTGTGTGCCCACACACACGACAGATCTTTCCAAACTGTTAAAGTTCCCCAGGCTCTCTATGGGTTTTTCTTAAAGGTCACCCAACAGGCCCTTAGGGAAAGCAGGGCTTGGTCTAAAATTTTTTATATTTTCTCACTTTTTAAACAGTGGAAAATCCATTTGGCCCAGAGAAATGAATAGTAAAAGGAGTTCTAACAACCTCAAGCCAATAAAAGGTAATGGAAAAAAGGCAAGAATGTGGCTGGAATTTATTTTCTTTTCACTCAGCACATCCTGTCTTTAATCTGAAAGGTAAATAGATCATGCCCAACATACCGACTCTTTTCAGGTGAAATTATCTAGGTTATAGAAACATACAACAACTGTGTTTTCAATATCCCTTAGGTCATAGCTGTCAAAAATAGTGTCTAAAATAAATCATAGACAAATACTGCCCACAAGAGAGCAAACCCACAAATTTCACTAGTTTGATAACTGACTTTTATAAATATTTTTTCTTCATATGAATAAAAATTGTGTAGCGTTATCTGAAAGAGCCTCAAAAGGCAGGAAATGAAAATTTCAATATTTATGTTTAGACTGTTTGAATGAAGAGTGAGAAAGTGAAGAAAGAGAGAGACAGGCTGATACTCTTTGCCAACCTTCAGAACATAAATGATCATGCAGCACCTCTTTCTGAACCCCAAAGTACCAACTTCTTTGGCTCCATAATATACCTAGTGATCTATGATTTTGCTTGTGATAGTAAGAGCTATGTCCATTTTTGTCTTATACATTCAACTTCCCTTGCCTTTATGCTACTTTTTTTCCTGCATATTCAAGCTAAGAAAAACCATCTTTACAAATAAAACACCCTTTTACAAGGAATTAGATAAATTAATGGTTTGTTTGAAGCAATATTCATTGCATTGTTTTTTCTGGATGTCATTTAAGTCAAGAATTACCATCACGAAATAATTTAAAGCATGAAATAATTTAACACTTTCAGAATGCCAGTTGTGGGCAAATCAGTAGTTATTCCACTTAAAAAGGTAGCAATGTCAAGTGAAACTGCTCCGTCAGAAGTGCAGAAACGTCCTCCAGATTTCCTCTCAACCTCAAGATTTCAAGTTTCTAAAAGGCAAATTTGTATTACATCTTTCTAAGAGGAAAAGGACATGGTAGGTTCCAGCCAATGGGACTTTGCATAATTGTACACCAGGGATCATCAGAGCTGGTGGTCCATAGCATATGCTTGGAATGAGACACATCTATGTAAAAGCCAAGTCTCCCTAAAGACAGGAAATTGGCTGGCTAACACTCAGTAGTCAAGCTGATCTCCTCATTGGCACTCCCAGCATATAGTGTACCTCATATGTGAGGAACTGTGAAAGGTCCAAGCACCTTTGTTTTACAAAAGATAAATCAAAGGCCTGGAGATTGATCATTTGCCCCATCACACAGCTGAGCTGAGAAGAACTAGAACTGGGAGCACAGTGACCTTGGAAACCAGAAGAAATAAAGCTCCCAGCAAAATGACCAGGAAGCCCCAGAAAGGACTGGGCAAAGACAGTGTATTAAACGCTCCATCTAGTCGATGAAAATATACCAGCATAGCACCAAATCCAGCAGAAGAGTCATTACATTTGGGAAATGGACAAGAGCAAGGGTAAAGGTGGGGGAGTTCTTAACAAAGCCAGTAAAACCACCTTTTAAAACATGCTATGCACAAGAAGTCTTTCCCAGTCAGTAGTTGGGAGAAGTCACCCAGTCCTACTTAAAAGTGGAAATTAGGAGTAGCGGTATATCAAAAAATATTACAAATTTCCTTTCCACCTTGAAAATGCAAGACATTTGATATCTTTAATTTGAATGCAAATTAAAGCCTGGCAGTATTAGATATATTTTTACAGCTTTTTTAAAGAGAAGAAATCAATCTCTGATTTAAAAAAAAGTAATATTTCAGGTGAGTTTTATTCTAACAGCAAACATATAGACACAAGTATAATCATACACTCACAGCTTATCATTTCAGTAAATCACAGGTACTAGAGTAATAGGAGTCTAGGGAACGTTAATGTTTATAGGCACAAAAAGTTCCAAAATTGGAGAGGTACCAAAAATATCAAGTCATGAGACTTTCTGTTTTTGATTGTTCCCTAACAATGAGGAAGTATGAATCTAGAAGACAGAATAATCTCATTGTACTAACTCCTACCCTCAGATTGCTAAAGGAGAAATGAGACACAGTTGTGCTATTTGTAATAAGGAACTGAAATCTATTGAAACAGTAATGCATCAGTGTTAACTCCTTCTGCATACGAAATAAACCTTTGTTTGGGTACTCTTCCCAAACGTGAATTCTGCACTATGAAATCTCAGAGGAAAAAAAAAAAACTGAATTCCATAACTTCCTTTTAAACACTTGTACCATCAGAAAAAATTTTCCATCCTGGTTTTCACCAAATGTTGCTTCTGAGTCATTCACTTCAAGGATTAGCAAAGGTCAGAAACATGTATGAGAAATACAGAGAAACAATCATTTTTTGAAGGACAGTATTCAGAAACAGAGCAAGACCAAAGGAAACCAAAATTGCTTTGAAATGACAAGGCCATTTCCTCACTTCCTATAAAGCAACACTTGCTGGCAAGATGAGGAAGAAGAAGAAAAAACATAAATATGCCTCTCAGTGAATCCCATTCTTGACCACCCTATGAAAACTGCCACATCCTCTGAGACCCCTCAACTCCCTTTACCAGGCTCTCCTCTCTCCCTAAAAACCTTATTGCCCAATACTCTGTAACTTGTCTGTTTGCTACGATTTTGTCCTCTGTGAAACTTTCTTTGACAGACTATAAGCTCCACCGAGCAAAAACATTTCCTGGGTTTTGTTTCTCTAGCTGATAAATCCTTATGCCTAGAACAGTTCCTGGGACGTGGTTACTTCTCAACAGGTATGTGTTGAAGGAGCAAATAATACTGTTTTTTTCCATCTTTGAATCCTATAGGAATTCAACAGTCTGCCTTCTATCTTTATACCTTGACCAATCAATCTTCAAAGAAACTCATAATAAAGGTCACAGGCCTGGATACCAGGCGTGACACTAAAAGAGACAAGTTCGCCCCAGGAGATCTACGAGGTTCTTTTTGCTTGTTTGTTTCTATTTTTTATTACTACATGCGGTTCTTTTTATCTTGTGGAACAATAAGCATTCACCGTATTATGGATATAGAACAAAGAGATATGACAAAGCAAAGCAATTGTATACTGTGTGCTTCATAGGAATGAATAGGAATATGAAGAAAGGTCAATAGATAAATTCTCCATCATTCAAAAATAATGAGCTTCTTAGAGATGATAGTTAACTGAAACACATTAAATGTTCTGTATTTTGTTCCTTTGCTAGAACCTTAAGAATAGAGAAGTGCCACTTATCTTATTCCCTCAATAATAAATTTCACATACATATTATACTTATTGCAAAACCAGTGATACTGGATTTACCATTCAAGATGCTGTTTGAAAGAGATCCCAAAGTAGGATTCGAAGCAGGATCTCACTGTAGCAAACCTTGGCTTCTCAGTAAGGCAAAGACAAGCATTCTGTGCTTTCACAATTTTCCCTTTGTACTTTTTCCTAATGAAAGTATCAAGGAAAACTTACAGCTGTGCAAAAGATGCACTGGCATTCCTGGAGTGTGGTCATCTTGTCCAGAGACTGTTCACACAAGCAGAGTTTGCAAGTGACAAGGGGGGCAGGAGCCAGGTCTCCGGGCGTTGGGCTTTCGGCAGTCATGGTGGGACAATGGAGCCCACCAACGGAGCCCATCAGCCTGTCTTCAGCCTTCCTCAGTCCCGATCCCTACAGAAAAGTCCAGAGCAGAAAACATATCATTTGATACAGCTATTGTTTGACCAACCAGCTAAGCAAATTATTACCATCAATAATCTTAAAAGTACAGCTGGGTCAGGGATTTAGCTCAGTTGTTCCCCCGCCTGCCTTGCAAACACAAGATCCCAAGTTTGATTCCCAGTTAAAAAACAAAACAAAAGTCCAGCTGATGCATTTCTGAGAATGAGGAGTGGCAGAGTTTATTATCTTGGCAAGGTATTCCTGGAGCACCACAATTTAAGCTGACCTCGCCTCACAGTCCTGATTCATATCATGTAAGCTGTAGGAATTTTAAAAGCACTACAGGCAGGGGATGGGAGATACTGGTGAAGGGTATGAACTTTCATTTGGACAGGAAGAATTTGGGAGAGCTATACAGCATGGTGACTATAGCTAATAACAGTATATATTCGAAAATTGCTGAGGGTAGATTTTAAATATTCTCACTACAAAAAAATGAGTGTATAAGGTGATAGGTTAATTAACTTTGTTTACTCATTTCATGTGCATACACAGAATATCAAAATATCAAATAGTATAATAAAACATATACAATTTTATTTATCAATTATATCTCAATAAAGCTGGTAGGAAGGGGAAGGAATCACTCCATCAACAAACAAACCATTTACAAGTTGTATCACTACCAAGCAATTCAAAAGGTCTAAAAATACTTAAAAGTATGGTGTCACTCAAAAAAAGCTGCAAAGAATTACCATATAATCCAGCAATTCTACCTCTAGATATGTGCCCAAAACTGAAAAGCAAGAAGTGAAAAGTGAGGTCTTGAGGAGATATTTGTACATCTGTGTTCATAGCAGCCATTATTTACAGCAGCTGAAAGGCAAAAGCACCCCAAGTAGGAGAATAAATAAAATGTAGTATTTACATAGTGTAAAATGTTATTCAGTCTTGAAAAGAAAACAAATTCTAACATATGTTACAACCCTGATGAACCTTGAAAACATTGTTCTAAGAAAAATAAGCCAAACAAAAAAATGACAATCGCTAGGTTGGGCATGACAGCACACGCCTATAATCCCAGCATTTGGGAGGCTGAGGCAGGTGGATTGCCATGAGTTCAAGGCCAGCCTGGACTACATAGTGAGATCTGCCCACCCCCACAAATGGCCATGGATTTAGCTCAGTGGTTCCTCCACCTGCCTTGCAAGTGCAAGGGCCCCAGTTCAACTCCTGGTACAAAAGAAAGAAAAAAAGAAAGGGGCAACTGCTAAATTATTCTGCTCATATGTGGTACCTAGAGCTCTCAAAGTTGATCTAAAAAGTAGATCAGAGGTTACCAGGGCTAGCAGGAAGACAGGGGAGTTATTGTTTAATGGATACAGAATTTCTGCTTGGGATGATGAGAAACTCTGTAAATGAATAGGGCTGATGATCACATAGCATTTGTGAATGTACAGAATGTCACTGAACTGCACAGTTAAAATGATTGAAATGTTGAAATGGAGCATGGTGGTGCATGTCAAAAAATCCCAGTACTCTGGGAGGCTGAGGCAAGAGGATCACAAGTGCAAGCCCAACATGGATAACTTAAAAAGATTCTCACAGAATTTTTTAAATGAATGAATGAATGAGGGCCGGGAATGTAGCTAAATATGAAGGCCCTGCGTTCCCCAGAACCACACACACACACAAAGTTTGAAATGATAAATTCTATGTTATTTATTTTATCACAATTCTAGAAATTAGAATGTAGAGTGCAATTATTCATTGTGTGCCTTCAAATACATTATTTCACTTAATATTTTGCAATTGTGATTATTTTCTTAATCTTATCGATTAATTGAGGTATCGGTTAAGTCATCTGCCAAAGTTCCCAGAGCTTGCAAAAGGCAGAGTATGACACAAATCTCCATCTTCTGAGCCCAAGCCCAGTGCCAGATCTGTTACACCAGAGCTGCCTTTAAGCGGATGCTCTAAGGAAGGCCAGAGCAGGAAAAGGGAGAAGGAAAAGATGAAGTCCCCAACTACAGCGATCCTACGGCCTTTGTGCTCTCACAGAAATGAAATTTGTCTCCATATGTGGTACGATTGTAAGAAAAGATATCTTTGTAGTGTAAAATTAAAAATTACAACCAAAGTCTTTCCACTAAATTGTGTTTAATTCAAAAAATCCTTAAAAGAGGTAAAATGATTGTGGAAATGGTCTCCTTGTATATTCAAGCTTTATGTATGTGTTTTATATCACATCAGGAAATGTCATGTTCTGATTAAATAAAAATAAAATCCAGAGGCTCTTACTATTTTAAAAGAATGTGGACAAATCTAATAAATTCTGCCATTGAAATAATTACAAATATCTCTCCCCTTACAAGAACTAGTCTGTTTTCCTACTGTTTTTGGCAAAAGAAATTACTTAAATGTACAGCCATTGCTAACCAAGCCTCAATACAGTTATGCATGCTTAATAACAGTTGTGAGTTCTGAGAAATGTGTTGTCAGGTGATTTCATTGTGTGAACATCATGGCGCACGTTTTAACAAACCTAGATGGTATAGCCTACTCCACACCTAGCCTACATGGTGTATGTATTGTATGACCTATTGCTCCTGGGCTATGATGAATGAAACACAAGATTAAATCAAAAGAAAACAACTCAACCAAGAGATATGGTAAACACAAGATGTATACAGTACACAGTTTTAGAATAAACTTTTTTTAAGCAGTAAAAGGAGCATAATCTAAGATAGCAATAAATAATAAACCAATTTCAATCCCCAGTACCAAAAAAATAAATAAATAATAAACCATTATCATGGTCACTTGTCATTGTCAATTATTATGGACTGTAAATAACTGTGTATGCTGTTTTTATATGACTAGCAGTATAGTAGGTTTGTTGACACCAATACCACACAAGCATGTGATAACATGTTGAGCTACATTCTGAAGGCTGTGATATCACTAAGCAATAGAGATTTTCAGCTCCATTATAATCTTATGGGACCACCATCTTCTGTGTGGTCCCTCATTGATCAAAACATTGATCAATGAGATGGATAACTTATATATAGATACAGAAGTACTAAAACGAGGGGACAATAAACTGGATTAGATAAAAAGAAAAGATCAATGAAAAATTTCCTCATCTATTTGCCATCATCAAGCAGAAAGAATTAATGGTTACTAACTCAAGTAACCTGATGTATTTGAGGTTTTTCACTTACTTCCTAAGTAGGAATTGAAGACTTTGTTTGAAAAGTAAATGAAAAAGGAAGCTAACCAAGGACTAGCTTCCAACATGAAAAACATATTTCCTAGAAAATGCCCAACCAGGTTCAAGACACGGTGTTCTTATTCCATGAACTACTGCAGAGTTATCAAAAGCAAATTAAACTTGCATATCCAATTCAGGGTTTTGACATTAAAAAAAAAAAACTCCCTTTCAAGTCAATGTATGGGTGAACACTAATGACGTTACCTCTTCCTTCTTCCCAGTGTATGCTTTGACAATGATCACCAGTGTTTCCCCCCAAGACTCCTACGTTCCTTGCCCCATGGTCCCACCAACATCCCTCGACTGCTGCCGTCTCAGCTGTACCCTCAACACTGCTTATACTACTCCTTCTGGATTATCTTTACCCCAAAAAGAGAAATCCCCAGTGAGCAACAGAAGAAATATAGCCAGCAAATGCTTTGTGGATATGGAAAATGAGAAATGATACAGCTAGACCACTTCACACCGCAAATGTCCATCATGAAAAAAAGGCATTGAAGGAAGCTGCTAGAAAGATCCAATCCTCTATACTGCCAGTCTGGGTATTCCTCCGGACACTGAAGTATTCTCACGGTCTCATCTCATATTATTTTTTAGGAGACATTAAAAAATGAAAAAACAAAGACATCACTGGGTACCTCTTACAAGGTATCTCTTAGAAGTACTGTGGTCTCTTAGAAGCACTGTACCGTGTTCATCAAAGCTGCCTGAAGTGTAACCACATCTCGTTATATATATAAGTTGTTAATCCTTGGTTTTTTAGTTACATGCTTATAGTCCATGAAATCAAAATTATAAAAAAATATTAATTGGCTTTTTTTGGTCCTTGGAATTGAACCCAAGGCTTCATGTATGCTAAGCATATATATTCTACCAGTAATCTACAGCCCTAGCCTCTAAGTATATTTGTATGACATAAAAAGTAGCAAATCAATTTTGTTTTTGTCTTTGTTTAAAATAAAGAATTCCAATCATTCCAATAATTGATACTTGTGACCCAGTGAGACACAGGAAGGAGCAACATATTTCACCCCTTTGAGATATGAGCAATCTGACATGATCCTTCACAAAGTAACTAATTTTCCTGTGCACACTAATGCCACTTTCCTACAATGATGGCTTTCAAATGTTTCTTGAGCAATGGAATTTTATAAAAACAAAAATATTTACTAAACTGTCACTATATATGAGTGATTAAGGCAGATTAGTGCGGGTTCCTAGGATGTGTCCTCCTGGACCCTCTCCAACCTCCCAGACACCGGCACACAATCCAGGTCTGCACCATGCACCACACGAACCAGTACTCTGAGTTTTCACATTAGGCAAAACTCTACAATCAATGTTTAAAAAGTGAATGACATATAGATAGCATTTAATTTTTTAAAGAGTATCAAACAAGAAATCTTCTCACCATGGATTCGTTGAAAATTGATCTCAACCACCAAACAAGAAAATCCTGAAGTCCTCTCCTGAAATTCCCACATCTGAGATCTTATAAATGGTTCCAGAGTTTCCAAGTGTTTATTTGTGTGCGCCTTAAGACTCCCCAGTCTCAATCACACCCTCCAAACTACCTAGCAATGGCACGAAGCTCAGAAAGTGTGCCCACCCTGAGCGTGCCCTCCATTCTCCCCCTGTCCTTCTCATTGTCCACTCCATCACAACTACAAGAGTGATTCACCCCCATTCCTCTCCAGCTTTCAAGAAAAGTCTTCCTTCCAAAGAGATGCCA